CGCGGCTCTCCCTCGGCCCCGCCCCCAACCCACCTTCTCTCTGCCTCAGTCGCCCCAGCGTTTCCCTCGGGGGAGCCCCGCATGGTGACTGTGAACAAGGGGCACCCCGCCAGGCTGTCCTGCGAGTGCCACGGTGTCCCCTTCCCCAAGATCTCCTGGTGGAAGGACGGTAGGATGGCTGCTCCCTGCCCCGCTCAGGGCCCAGTGTGATGGGTGGGCGACCCCCTAGGGGTGGGGCTCAGGTGACAGAAGTGACGCTTTCCGTAGCCTCCCTCCACTCAGTCCCCGAGCCTGCAGGGGCCCCTCCCAGTCAATCAGAGCTGGATCAACCTTCAACCCTCGCTTCAGATGTTCCTTCCTCCAGGAAGCCATCCCTGACCGCCAGGCCGGGGTAGGGCCTCCTTGCTGCAGCCCCTGTGTGATGACTGGTCGTGTCACCCATCTTAGTCCTTGTCTCCTCCGCCATGAGTCTGTGAGGCACTGTCTTGGCAACCTCTGAATTCCAAATTCAGTGCCTGATATGAAACAGGTGCTCAGTAAATACTCGGACTCCATTGAACCGATGTTTATTGAGGACCTGTCTGTGCGAACCTGTTCTAGAAAGTGGGGATACAGCACCGGTCAAAACAAAACAGACAAACCCCCACGCTGCCGGGGGGGAGGTCAGATAATCAACAAAAAGGTGGTGGATGACGCAGGACCTCGGGTGATACGTGTTGTATCAAGCCAGGAAGGTGGGCTGAGAGTAGCAGTCACAGTTGTCCGTCGGGCGGCAGGGACGGCTGACCCACCGGCTTGAAGAAGGGAAGGGATGCCCATGAGACGATCGCAGGAGAAGCAGTCTGGGCGGAGAGAGTGGGAGGTGCAGAGGTCCCGAGGCAGGGATGCCGGGTGCACGGGGCAGGGAGAGGAAGGGAGGGGTCAGGACAGCAGGAGCATGGAGCTGCCCTTGCTGAGATGGAGGCTCCGGGGCAGGTGTGGGGGCCAGGCGTTGGGAGACACCGGCTGGACGCCCAGCGAAATGTCAAGTGACGGCGAGAGGTAAGGTGTCTAGGCAGCAGTCTGGCAGCCTCAGGGCAGGCTGAGATCACCAGGGCAGAGGGGAAGGATGCATTGCCAGGCGGTCATGGGTACCCTCCCTGTCACGCCCACAGGTCTGCGCCTTTCAAGGCAGGTGTAGATGGGCTTAATCCAGCCACTCCAGGTTGACACCTCCCCCCACGAGGGCTCTGCCAGCTTCTTGATCTACCCCCTCAGGTCCCCAGCTGGTTGGGCCGATCACTCTCAGCAGCCTTCCTGGTGTCTTGCTGTGTGCTAGGCCCCGTGAGCCTCTAAGTGTCCCAGGGGGAAACTGAAGCAGAGCCTGCCATTCTGGGGACCCAGGCCAGAGCGGGCTTCATCCGGTGCACCTGCAGGCAGATCTGTGATGGGAAGAAGCTTGGGGGTGGGAGGGATTAATTCAGGGGGTGCCAGGACCATACGTGGTGCTCGGGGAAGGCTTCCTGGAGGAGGTGATGTCTAAGTGAACCAACAGAGGAGGAGCAGGAGTTGGCAAGAATGGGAGGGAGGACAGACATCCCCTCGCATAGACCCGTGTCTCTGCAAATGTCCTGGACCAGGGTCTTCTTTCTCACGGCGCCCAGGTCAGCCCCTGCCGGGGGAAGGGGCCGGCCTCGAGCAGGTGTCGGCCGTGGGGAGGCTGCTGTACCTGGGACAGGCCCAGCCGGCCCAGGAGGGAACGTACACCTGTGAGTGCAGCAACGTGGCGGGGAACAGCAGCCAGGACCAGCAGCTGGAGGTGCACGGTGGGTGAGCCAGGCTGGGCCTGAAGGGCCGGGAGCCAGCGTGGCGGGGAGCGTGGCTAGCTGGGCGGGCGTCATCCCACGGGGAGCAGGACCCACACGAGGCGACATGCGCCTCCATGGCCTCCCGCAGACTCCTGGATTTAGCTGCCTCTCCCCCCAGCTTCCTACTGCCCCTCACCCTAGCACTGGAGGGACAGGTGGTCCCCAGGTGCCTCCCAGTGGTCCAGAGGGGAAATGTCGCACGATAGCATGGCCGGAAACATGAAGGATCGTACATTTCACACGGAGCTCCTGCGTGTGGTGGAGACCTAAGGCCGTGAGGGCGCGACCCGTCTCAGCCTGTAAAGATCAAGCTAGAAAGCGAAACCCAGAGCAGTGCTGCCCACCCTCTGGGAGAGAAGCCATCGCGGAAGGATGCTTCCCCAGCCAGTCCCAACGGCTGTCACAGCCCCAGGAAGCGCTGATGTTTTTCTTTCTTTGAGCCAGGGTCTCACTCTGTGGCCCAGGCTGGAGTGCAGTGGCAGGATCACGACTCACCACAGCCCCCAACTCCTGGGCTCAAGTGATCCTCCGACCTCGGCCTCCCAGAGTGCTGGGATTACAGGCGTGAGCCACCACATCTGGCCCGCCTCTGGCTGTTGAGGAAGATAAGCCCCCACAGATCCTGAAAGGGCTGAACTGCGAGCTTGTCCCTAAACAGCAGGCCCACCTGTGGACCCTCAGGGTGGGAGAGGCAGTAGTGGGGACAGTTGTGACCCCATTGTAGAGAAGGAAAACAGAGACCAGGGAGGTGAGATCACCTGGCCGAGCTCGCACAGCCAGGGAGTGGCGAGGGGCAGCAAGGGTGTCCCCAGGAGGTGTGTGCCTGGTGGCTCCGGCGGCTTTCTCTGACACGCTTCCTTCCTACCCCAGTTCCTCCTCAGATCTCTGGCCCCCAGGAGTCCCCCACAGAAGTTTCTGTGGTCCAGCATGGGGGTGTCACCCTGGAGTGCAACGCCACTGGGAAGCCCCCGCCAACGGTGATGTGGAGGCGGGATGGCCAGCCTGTGGGGGCCCAGCCTGGACTGCGGCTGCAAAGCCAAGGACAGAGCCTGCAGGTGGAACAGGCAAGGCTTGCCCATGCTGGACGCTACAGCTGTGTGGCTGAGAACGTGGCTGGGAGAGCAGAGAGGAGGTTTGCACTCTCCGTGCTGGGTAAGGACCGACAGCTAGCTGGAGGGGCAGGGGCAGGACAGGACAGCTTGGAGAGGGCAAGGCTGGTTCAATCTCCAGGCACCGCTTTCAAGCTGTGCTCCAGGGTCACCCCTATTCTTTCTGGACCTGGGGCTCTGATGAGGACTGCTGCTGTGGAAAACCACCAACACTGCTCTCAAAGTCAAAACTGGTCCCAATTCACCTGTCATCCAATCCACCTCTCCTCCCTCCCACTCATGTTTACTGTTCCCTACTCTGTTCTGGGCACTGGGGAAGTAGGCAGTCTCAATCCTGCATGACTCATATGTGATGGAGAGGATTCAGGGAGAGACCAGGAAGACCTTGAATGCTGTTGAGAGAGGTCAGGGCAGCCCCCCAGAGGACGTGCCCTTTTAGCTGGACCTTAAAGGTTGAGTAGGAATTAGGCAGCTGCTGTGTGCCAGGCAGAGGGTGGTTGGAACAGCCTCATGCATTCCATTTACTGAACTCCTGCTGTAAACCTAGAGGGCCCTCGGGGTAGAAGCAGGGAGTGGTAAGAGATAAGGCAGGAGAGGTGGGCAGGATGGGTTTAGGGAGCCCCCGTCCATGCCCCCCACGTGGCTGGGATCCCAAGCCTCACCCTGGTTGTCCTCACCCGGTCCTGCCTCCAGGGACAGTGTGACTTCCTGTACCGTCAGGTCTCTTCGGGAGTGCAGAGTTGCCACTTAACGTCCACATGTGGGTTCAGGGCTTGTGTCTGGGCTCCCCGGATTCTAACTCCAGCCCCATCCACCTGGCACTTGCTCCCACCCGGCACTGGACTCGGCACTTCACGCATGTTCTTGCTGAATCCTGGCGTCCTTCTGAGGGTGGGGGACACCGAGGCCCAAGGGGTCCTCCTGACTCCAGAGCCCAGCCTGTGGCCCCACGTGCTCCCTACTGAGTGCCATAGCTTCGGGGGGAGCAACTCCGCTCCGGTCACTCCTCAGACTCCCAATTTGCAGGGATCCGGGGTGGGGGCAGGCAGGGAGGTGGGGAGGGGCGTCTGGCCTCACTCTGCCTCCTGAGTGCAGCTTGTTCTCCGTGTCCAGTGCCCCCAGAACTCATCGGAGACTCAGACCCACTGACCAATGTTACTGCTGCCTTGCGCAGCCCCGTGACGCTGCTCTGTGAAGCCACCGGGGTCCCGCCCCCGGCCGTCCACTGGTTCCGAGGGGAGGAGCCTGTCAGGCCCAGGGAGGACACCTACCTGTTGGCGGGTAAGATGTCCGCCGGGTCGTGTCCTGGGAATCAGGTCTAGCCCTCTGCCTCTGCCCAGCCCATGCCCATGACCTCTGACCCTGAGCTGCTGGTTCCCAAAGAGTGTACCCCAAAACACAGGTCAGATGGGGTGCTCCTGAGGGGTAGGAAATGATTTCAATAAATCTGAGAAAGGCTTCCTGCTCTGCTTCCTCCTAGAGACCCACGGTGAACATCTGCTTAGTAAAAGTTCTGATAAGTCACAGCAAAAAAAAAAAAAATCTCTTGGTGTTTGTATATAATATCTCACAGAACAGTAACGAGCCAATCTAAGCACTTTCTCCTCTGAATATTCATCTTCCTCACACAATTGGGAAACTGAGGTCCAAGAGGCAGTGTCTCATCCAAATCTTGCAGGAACCCCAAGGCCCACTGAGGCTCAGCCGTCAATTGCTGCAGGCAGTCCATGGTGGGATGGCAAATACATTTCCCTTGTGCATCACTTCTGAGTCCTCCATAGGGGTTGCCAGACGCATTGCGCACACATGACTTCAGAGATTGCATTTGGGCCCAGCAGAAAGGAGAGTGGCAGTCGACTAGTGATGTCTACCCTGGGTGCAGGAACAGCAGTGATGGCACATGTCCTGAGTATCTGCACTCCCCACTCTGATCATAGGAGACCCTTGGGTTCCTCTGAGAGGAGCTAGCTTTCCCTGAGAGGTTCTTGGGTGGAGGCCTTCTACCGTGTCTGTCAGGGTAGAATGGGGCTCGCACTCGGCCAGGACTACACAGTCCATGGAACTCCAGAGCCAGGGATGGCCAGGCAACAGATCCTTTTTGCTGGAACGGGGTTCTCAGGTTTATCTGGGTGCGTGTCAAATCTCCAGGCGGCTCGATCCATTTGTTTACTCTCCTGGGCCTGTTTCCCCGTCTGAGGACTGGAACACACACACACTTGATTTTAACGTCTCCTCTGGCCGGCGGCTGGGGCTCAGCTTGGCCCAGAGCCTGCTCCCAGCTGTGCCTGGAGTCCATGCCCCTCCCTCCCCAGGTGGCTGGATGCTGAAGATGACTCAGGCCCAGGAACGGGACAGCGGCCTCTACTCATGCCTGGCCAGCAATGAGGTCGGGGAGGTGCGAAGGAACTTCAGCGTGGAGGTCCTGGGTACGCTGCTGCCCCGTTCTCGCAGGTGCCCCGTGAATCCTTCCCCCACTGCCTGGGAGGACACAGGACTCAGGGTTCCTGCTGTGGCAGGCGACCCAGCCCAGGGAGGGCGGGAGAAGTAGCCTTGTTCGCTTTTCCTCGGAAGAAACCTCAGTTCTGAGGTTGTCATGGAACTTTCCAGAAGCAGCGGGGACATTCCAATTTGAAAGCAGGCAGATATGTTCAACACCACTAAAACTGCCTTCCTCTCATCAGAACCTTCCCTCGGCCAGCAAGATGTGTATTAAACCCACCACTCCACTACCCCCAAAAAGGCCAGGCTTGGTGGCTCATGCCTGTCTGCAATCCCAGTGCTCTGGGAGGCCGAGGTGGGAGGATGGCTTGAGCCCAGTAGTTCGAAACCAGTCTGGCAACATAGCAAGAACCCTTCCCCCCACACCCCCCGCATTCACACAAACTCACTGCCCTATGGAAGCAGGCACCGGGGGGATGGGGAAACTGAGGCACAGGAGACTGTGGGCCCTTGGCTTCCTGCTCTGTGATTGTGTAGCCCGAGTGGGCCAACCCCAGTCAGCGGCCATGTCGTCCCGCTCCTCCCAGGTCCTCCCAGTATTGAGAACGAGGACCAGGAGGAGCTGGTCAAGGTGCCCGAGGGACAGACTGCCCACCTGACGTGCAGCGCCACAGGTGAGGGCCCTGGAGGCGGGCAGGGAGGGGGTGGGAAGGCGGTTTGGAAAGGAGGGGGCCCTGGGCATCTGATTGCCTGCCCAACCCACGGCTCGCCACAGAGGGTCTCTTGACGCCTTGGGTCAGCACCAGGGCCTGCTCATCCCTGCACTTGCTCTCCCTCCCCCTAAACTCTCCCCTGCTCCCCACCTCACCACACACCTCAGTGTCCGGGACCCTCCACAGAGAGTCCTCAGCAGCCCCTCAGACCCAGTGCTTCCTGGTCCTGACACTGACTACGCTGGACCATAGTGGCCTTGGGACTTCTGAGCTCCTTGAGGAGCCGGGGGCTGCCTTGTCACCACGGTTTCCCAGTGCTTGGCAGTAGGAGCCCATTGGCGCTGTGGGCTGAAGGATGGATGGTGGGTGGGTGGGTGGACGGATAGATAGATGGATGGTTAGAAGGATAAGCGGGCTGGTGGATGGATGGATGAGTAGATGGATGGATGGATAGGTGGATGGATGGTTGGTTGAATAGAAAGGTAGGTAGATGAGTGAATGGATAGGTGGGTGGATAAATGGATGGTTGGAAGGATAGGTGGGTAGATGGATGGATGGCTGGATGGTTGGTGGGTGAGTGGATGGATGGATGGATGGATGGATGGATAGATGGGTGGTTGCTGGATAGATAGATAGATAGGTGGGAGAGGTGGGTAAGTTGATGGATGGATGGTGAGATGGTTGGCTAGATGGGTAGATAGGCAGGCAAGCGGGTAGGTGGATGGATGGATGGATGGATGGATGGATGATTGGGTAGGTGGTGGGTGGTGAGATGGATGGGTGAATAGGTGGATGGATGGTTGGTTGAATGGAAGGATAGGTGGGTCAGTAGATGGAAGAATGAGTGGATGGTTGGGTAGGTGGTGGGTGGCTAGATGGATGGATGGATGGTTGACTGGATGGGTAGGTGGTAGGTGGCTAGATGGATGGATGGATGGTTGACTGGATGGGTAGGTAGTGGGTGGGTAGATGGATGGATGGATGGTTGGATAGGTGGTGGCTGGGTAGCTGGCTGGCTGGCTGGCTGGCTGGCTGGCTGGATAGATAGGTGAACAGGTGGGTAGGTAGATGGGTGGGTGATGGGTGGGTGGATGGATAACTACATGAAAAGAGCAACTGTCTGTCTGTATCAAGCCACCTTTGGCCACTCTTAAGTAAGGAAAAGGCAACCGAATTATTGAGGAGAGGCCACAGGCCCGGTGACTGTGTCTGCTCCTCGCTGAGCTTCCTGGCCTCCGGACTGGGATGGAGAACCTGCATCCCCTGCCCTGTCTGGGAGCAGCCTCCAACCCCCCAGGCCGACCTAGTCAAAGCCTGCTAAACTGCCTTGTTCTCTCCTCTGCATACAGGCCACCCACAGCCCAAGGTCACATGGTCCAAAGACGGCCGGCCCCTAGCTGGAGGAGACGCCCACCACATCTCCCCAGACGGAGCCCTCCTGCAGGTCCTCCAGGCAAACCTGTCCAGTGCCGGCCACTACACCTGCATTGCAGCCAATGGCGTGGGCGAGAAGACCAAGCACTTCCAGCTCAGCGTCCTGTGTAAGCTCAGGGCATCTTCTGGCCACCAGGGGCTGGTGGGAAGGAGACCGAGGTGACCAACTTGTGGCAGATACCCTTCCGCAAAGCACTCTGCTGTTTTTCTTCTACTTCTCCAAGTTTGATGACAACAGCAACAAAAATCATAATAGTGGCTCTTATTTTTTATGTTTGTTTTAATCAGGGTCTCACTCTTGCCCAGGCTGGAGTGCAGTGGCACGATCATGGCTCACTGTAGCCTTGACTTTCTGGGCTAAGGTGATCCTTCCGCCTCAGCCTCCCAAGTAGCTGGGACTACAGGCGCACGTCAGCACATGCAGCTAGTGTTTTTTTTTTCATGGAGCAGAGCTGTCGCTGTCTCGAATTCCTGGGCTCAAGCAGTCCTCCCGCCTCGGTCTCCCAAAGTGCTCAGATTATAGGCGTGATCCACCGTGATTGGCTGGCTCTGTAGACTGAACATTTATCACAGGCCGGATATTTGAATGGGCCTGATCATTTGAATCTTCACAGCGCCCCTAGGAGGTGGGAGTTGTGCTTGTCCCCATTTCACTGGTGAAACTCTGAGGCTTAGAGAGCTGACGTGACTTGTGCCAGGCCCCAGGTGGTACTTTTCATCCCGGCCAGCCGGCTCCTTGGGCAGTGCACACGTGCTGTCCCAGCAGGCTGGAGAAACTGAGAATCTGCCCAGTGAGAGGGGACAGACTAGCTTAATAAAATCTGTTTCTAAAGATGCTGGTGGTAGGCCGGGCGTGATGGCGCATGCCTGTAATCCCAGCACTTTGGGAGGCCGAGTTGGGAGGATCACTTGAGCCCAGGAGTCCAAGACCAGCCTGGGCAACTTAGGGAGACTCCCATCTCTACAAATTTTTTAGAGAAATTAACCAGGCATGGTGGTGCATGCCTGTAATCCCAGTGCTTTGGAAGGCCGAAGGGAGGGGATCCCTTGAGGCCAGGAATTTGAGACCATCTCTGCCAAAAAAAAAAAAGTGATAAAAATAAAAATGGTGGGAAAAGGGAGAGTCCCCTGCAGGGGTGGAAAGGAAATGTCAGGACCAATGAAAGCAGAGCGCCTCTATTCAGCAGGGAACAAACGGGAATTGAAATGGCTCTGGTTACTTAGTAGAGATGTTGGATGTTGAGAAGCTGTCAGGGAAACTGAGGTAGAAATGACTCATCTTTCTCTTGTAGTGTTGCTTACTGGTGGAGGACTGGGTTCTGGGCCACTCAGACTTGAATTCAAGTCTGACCGCACCGTGCGCAGGCTGCTCTGAGCCTCAGTTGCCCTTCTGTGTAATGCAAGTAACAATAGCTCAGAGGCTAAACACTGGGGTCTGAGGCTTTCCTGGGGATCTGCATTCATGTGTGCCCTTCCTGCCCCCACCGCAGTGGCTCCCACCATCCAGGGAGTGACTGAGGACAGTGCGGACGAGGAGGTGACTGTGACCATCAACAACCCCATCTCTCTGATCTGCGAGGCGCTGGCCTTCCCGGCCCCCAATATCACCTGGATGAAAGATGGGGCCCCTTTCCTGGCCTCCCGGAATATCCAGCTGCTCCCAGGTGATGCCTTGGGGGGAGGCGAAGTGAGGGGACGGGGACATGCCATCGGGGCCAGAGGAGGGGACCGGTGAGCCTGAGCTCACGCCTGCGGGGTGACCCGGCCACTGCCCCTGGGCAGGTACCCATGGGCTGCAGATCCTGAATGCCCAGAAGGAGGACGCTGGCCAGTACACCTGCGTGGTCACCAATGAGCTCGGCGAGGCCATGAAAAACTACCATGTGGAGGTCCTCAGTGAGTGGGACGTGGGCACCCCAGGGTGCTGAGGCTGGCTCCTCTCTCGGTCACCAGGAAGTTGGGGTGGCTTGGTCACTCTGCACCTTACAGCTGAGGCCACTGAGTCAGGGCACGGGCCACATGGACTCTGAGACCCACACCCCTGCCACTTCTGCTGTGGGGTACCCCCAGGGGCTCTGCAGCCTGAGATCTGGGATCCCCAGAAGGACCTCAGGGACCATCCCAGGAATCCCCCTGCCTCAGACCTGCCTTGTCCCATGACCGTCGCAGACAAACGCCCTCCCCGCTAAGCCAGCAGCCCCTAACATGCAGCCTGGCCCCCAGGGTCCCTGTTCCTCTAGGCTCAGGACCAGGGTGAGCTCAGGGTCTCAGCACTGCTCTCCCTGGTCAACTCTCAGACTCCCTTGTGGTTTTCAGTCCCCCCTTCCATCTCCAAAGACGACCCTTCAGGGGAGGCAGGCGTGAAGCAAGTGAAGACCAAGGTCAACAGTACTTTGACCCTGGAGTGTGAGTGCTGGGCTGTGCCCCCGCCCACCATCCGCTGGTACAAGGACGGGCAGGTGAGCACAGGACCTGGGGGCTTCTGGCTCTCACCTCTGGGTCCCACCGGCTCTGCTTGGAACCTTCCAGAAAAGGCACCCCTTAAAGCACCTGGCTCCAGAGCTGGTCTGGGCCCGCCCATCCTTCCGCCCATCCTTGATTTTTTAAAATAAGAAATCCAACTTGCCGGGCTTGGTGGCTCAGCCTGTAATCCTGCGCCTTTGGGAGGCTGAGGTGAGTGGATTGCCGGAACCTGCAGGTTCGAGACCCGCCTGGGCAGGGAGACCTCATCTCTACAATAAATAAAAAAAAAATCAGCCGGGCATGGTAGCGCCTGTAATTCTGGCTACTCGTAAGGCTGAGGGGGAAGGATCACCTTAGGGGGAAGGATCGCCGGAGTCCAGCAGGCCGACGCTGCGGTGGCCGGGAGCGGCCACTGCACTCCAGTCTGGGCAACTGAGTGAGACTCCAACTCAAAAAAAAAAAAGAAATCCAACTCTACAGGGAACGAGTCTCATAGATATTGAACTCTGCCTTTTCCACCCACTTACCTCTCTTCCACTCTTCATGCTGTGTGCATTTTGCAAAGCTTTGGATGTACCCACTACTTATGTTGTATTTTTAAAAATTTTATTGGCTGGACACAGTGGCTCATGCCTGTCATCCCAGCACTTTGGGAGGCTGAGGCAGGAGGATCACTTGAGCCCAGGAGTTCGAGGCCAACCCGGGTAACATAGCAAGACATTTTTTTTTAAACTGGGTGTGGTGGCTCACGCCTATAATCCCAGCACTTTGGGAGGCCGAGGTGAGAGGATTGCATGAGCCTACTGGTTTGAGAACAGCCTGGGCAACTTGGTGAGACCTCATGTCTACAGTAAATTAAAAAATTAGCCAGGCATGGTGGCATATACCTCTGGTTTCAGCTACTTGGAAGACTGAGGCGGAAGGATCACCTGAGCCCAGGAGGTCAAGGCTGCGGTGGCTATGAGCGTGCCACTGCACTCCAGCCAGGGCGACAGAGTGAGACTTTGACTCAAAAGAAAATTTTTTTAAAAATTAGCCAGGTGTGCCTGTAGTTCCACCTACTCGGGAGGCTAAGGCAGGAGGATCAGTAAGCCCAGGAGGTAGAGGCTGCAGTGAGCAGTGATTGTGCCCCTGCACTCCAATCTAGGCAATAGAGTGAGACCCCCCCAACTAAAAAAGAAAAGTTTTAAAAATATATGTCCACTTCTATTGGTGCTTTCGACCCCTCATGTCTGATCCCCCTCCCCCCATGTGTCCTCCCCCAGCCCGTGACCCCCAGCCCACGGCTCCAGGTCCTGGGGGAAGGACGGCTGCTTCAGATCCAGCCCACGCAGGCCTCGGACTCGGGGCGCTACCTGTGCGTGGCCACCAACGTGGCTGGCGAGGACGACCAGGACTTCAACGTGCTTGTCCAAGGTGCGTGCAGCAGCCAGCCCGGGGTGGGGCATGAAGCCAGGGGTGTCGGCGGGGCTGCAGCCAAGGCTGGCCCTCGGCCGCCCTCGCCACGCATCACGCGGCTCACAGGCTTCCCCCCGACCCGTCTCAACAGCCCGGGGAGGGCGTGGGGGGGGGCTGCCCAACCCTTCTATGCCGAGGGGACCCCAAAGGCTTGTTCCCGAATCACAGAAATGTGGTCTGGCTATGCTCTTAAACCCTCGGCCAGACCCCTCTCACTTTAGCCTGGGGTTGTCCTCATAAAACGCTCTGAGTTGAAAGGAAGCTGCCTGGCCCTGACTCCATAGTTGTGGGAGCTGGTGGTGGGTACGTGGGGCTGGTTATAACCTCTCTGCTTCTGTGAATGCTTGATATTTTCCTTAAAAAATAAAAGAAAGAATGGGAGGGAGGCAGGCAGGCAGGGAGGGGGAGGCTGGGAGGCAAGAAGGTTGGAAGGCAGGGAGGCTGAAACCTTGAAAGGTTGGGAGGCCGGGAGGCGAAACTGAGTGGTTGGAAGGCTGGGAGGCAGGGAGGCTGGAAGGCAGAAAGGCTGGCAGGTTGGAAGGCAGGGAAGCTGGGTGGGGGGTAGGCAGGGAGGCCAGGAGGCTGACAGCCAAGCCGAGTGAGAGATGCTTCCGGAAAAGAAGCAGGTGCTTCTGGGATGGCCTGGCAGGAGGAACACGCGTTCCTGGTTGCTTGAGCCCCTTCTTGTCTCTGGTGCTTCTGGACCAGACGCAGGCCCTGGCTCTGTCATTAACTGGTTGCTTGGCCCGGGCCTCCGTCCCACCCTCTGTAAAACGCAGGTGATCACAGCAGGCGACCTGAGAGCCCCTTCCTGTCCTAGAGCTGCTGATCTTGTGCCTCCGTGCTTGGACAGACACTGACCAGCTAAAGCTCTGGCTCTGGCTCCTTCCCCTGAAAAATATCTCTGTGTTCCAAGGAGTCTATTTTTTTTTAGTGGGAATAGTGGCACGCTCACGGCCACTGCAGCCTCGACCTGCTGGGCTCAGGTGATCCTTCCACCTCAGTCTTCCAAGTAGCTGAAACCACAGGCACATGCCACCACATCCAGTCAATTTTTTGATTTATTGCAGAGACGAGCTCTCGCCATGTTGCCCAGGCTGGTCTCGAACCCTGGGATCAAGCAATCCTCTCACCTCCACCTCACAAAGTGCTGGGATTATAGGTGTGAGCCACCGTGCCCGGCTTCACGGAGTCTTAAGCCCATAACACACGAGCTCCATGAGCAGGAACCTTGTTCTGTGCCCAGCACATAGTAGGTGCTCAATAAACACCGCTTGAGGAAGTAGGTTTGGCTCAAGCGATGGACTTCTGCAGCAGGGCAGGCTGGGTTGGACATCTGTGGGCAGATGTGCATTTCTTGCCTTCCGCTGTGTTTCCTAATGGCTTCGTCTCCTCCCCCTCAGTGCCCCCCATCTTCCAGAAGGTGGGCGATGCCAGCTCAGGCTTCGAGATCCCATCCCAGGAGGAGGAGGCCCGGGGCGGAGTGACGGAATACAGAGAGATTGTGGAAAACAACCCTGCCTACCTGTACTGTGACACCAACGCCATCCCACCCCCTGAGCTCACCTGGTTCAGGGAGGATCAGCCCCTCTCAGACGCAGATGGAGTGTCTGTACTGCAAGGTAGGCCAAGGCTGCATGAGGAAGATGGGTGCGGTGTGACCTCAGGCAGGGCACACGACCACTCTGGACCTTAGCCGCAGTTTGTCGATGAGAGCTACAAGTTCTTTGCCTGTTTGAAGGCAGGAACTAGGTCAGCTTCTGCCTCTAGTATTTATTTATTTACTTATTTTTAAATTCAATTTAATTACTTTTTTGAGACAGGTCTCTCTCTGTGGCCCACACTGGAGGGCAGTGGTGCCATCACAGCTCACTGAAGCCTCAAACTCCTGGGCTCACACAATCCTCCTGCCTCAGCCTTCCTAGTAGCCAGGACTCCTGGCATGCCCAGCTAATATTTTCACTTTTTGTAGAAACGAGGTCTTGCTATGTTGCTCGGATTGGCTTTGAACCCCTAACCTCAAGCAATCCTCCCACCTCAGCCTCTCAAAGTACTAGGATTACAGGTGTGAGTCACTGCCACTGGCCTGTTACTTTTTTCTTTTTTACCACTATAAATATTCATTTATTTAAAGTTACTTAATTTTTTTGAGTAGACCTTTTATTTGAGAATCATTTCTGTGGGTGAAATTGAATTTAAAGGCTCCAAGGATAAGGCTTAGAAATGCCTGGTCTTGCTGGACAGCTCATCTGGCTCCCTTAGATGAGGCCAGTGGGGGCGCCCGGGTGGTCTCCTGGCCTAGGATCCTGCCTGACTTGGGAATACCAAGGGTATTTGGGTATTAACCCTTAATTTGAGCAAACTGCAGGGTTAATACCAAAGTACAAACCCTGGTGTTCTCCCTGACTTGGGCCAGCGGAAGCGGAAGGGTGGTTGTCGGGCGAGGACAGTTGCACTGGCCTCCGAGAGACAGAGAACACCAGGGTTTGTACTTTGGTGCCTGCAAGAGAAACCGGCCTCTTGGAGATCCGGGAAGGCCAGACTTACTGAAAGCTGTCTGCTCCTGCTGGACATTTCTGCACTGCCCCTCGCCTTTCACCTGGCCACTGACCTCTGATACTGACCCTAAATCCCAGGTGCAGAGTAAGTCCAGTCACATGGCTCACCTCTATAACACCCTGACCCAACCATCAACTGAACCCAGACCACAGCCACTGTCCTTCCCCAGTCCTAGTCAATTGCCTCTTAGCCCTCCACTGAACTCTGACTCTAGCCAGTGACCCCTAATCCTGAGTACATAGTTGATCTGGTCACAAACCGGCCTGAGTTCGAAACCTGATCATAGGCTAACTTCAAACACCCACCGACTCCCGCCTTCCGCACCATGGCCTCTGCCTCTCTGATTCTGGCCACCGTCCCTGGGCCCTGCAGGGAGCGAGTGCCTCGTTCCGACCCTGGTCAAGCCCCCCGCAGCCGGAGCTGGCCATCCCAACCCAGTGCACACAGTGACCCTCACCTGGCCCCCACTGGGGACTAAGTCCAGCCCCCAGAGATGCCAGGCTGGCTTTCTGTCACAGAGGGTCCTGGGTGACACCTCCCCACTTCCTCCCACCAGCCATAGACCCAGGAGCCACCTCTTTTGACTCTGGAGTGCCTCTGTCCCGTTCTCTGCCCCTTCCTTGTGATGTCACCAACGAGCTGGGCTTGGCACAGCCGCAGACTTGAGATGGCAACGACTGCTCCCTTGCTGGGCCCCGTTGCAAAGCCTCAGTCTTTCCATCTGTAAGATGGGAGAAGTCACAGTCCACACCCCACAGGCCAGGCTGACTCTGTCCATTTCACAGAAGAGGTGGAGCGTGGTGGCAAGCCTCAGGTCTCCTCCAGTGGACAGAAAAGAACTGTTTCCTTGTTCTTTGGCCTGCGCTCAGGTCTCTGTCCTGTGTCCCCGCAGGAGGCCGGGTCCTGCAGATCCCCCTGGTCCGGGCGGAGGACGCCGGGAGGTACTCTTGCAAAGCCTCCAATGAGGTGGGCGAGGACTGGCTGCACTATGACCTGCTGGTGCTGAGTGAGTGTCCCGGGCCCAGGGCGGGGAGCCTGGGTGGAGGTGGGGGTGTCTCAGGACTGCAGGCCCCAGGAGGGCAGCCCTCTGGAGGACTTGAACATGGTTGAAAATGGGTTCTGACCCGGCGTGGTGACTCACGCCTGTAATCCCAGCACTTTGGGAGGCCAAGGCGGGAGGATCGCTTGAGCCCAGGAGTTGGAGATTAGCCTGGGCAACACATAGCGAGACCTCATCTCTACAAAAAAAAAAATTAGCTGGACGTGGTGGTACGTGTCTGTAGTCCCAGCTACTTGGGAGGCTGTGTGGGGAGGATCACCGGAGCCCAGGAGGTCGAGGCTGCAGTGAGCCAGGATCCTGTCACTGCACTCCAGCCTGGGCCACAGAGTGAGACCCAGTCTCAAAAGAAAAAAAAAAGGAGTGAAAATGGGGTTCCAGGTCCAAGTTAGAAACTTCTGGGCTGTGTGATGTTGAGCAAATCGCAGCCATCTCTGTGCCCCAGATTCCTCAGCTGCACCGGGGTCTGGGAGAGGTTGGCGAGCAGGGCATGAGGAGCCCAGCCAGCGCCTGGCACCGAGTGCCGCTCTCCCTCCATGCCTGCCCTGGCCCTATGCCGGCCCCACAGCCTCCTCTCTCCCACCCCAGCCCCACCTGTGATCCTGGGCGACACGGAGGAGCTGGTGGAAGAGGTGACGGTCAACGCCAGCAGCACTGTCAGCCTGCAGTGCCCGGCCCTGGGCAACCCCGTGCCCACCATCTCATGGCTTCAGAATGGGCTGCCTGTCTCCCCGAGCCCGCAGCTGCAGGTCCTGGAGGACGGGCAAGTCTTGCAGGTCAGGGCTGCCCCTGGGATGGTGGAAGCAGGCGTTATCTGTGCTGAGGGAGGCTCTTTGCCCAAAAGCGCACGGGAGACCCTGGGAGTTCATTCAGCCCAGCACACGGTCATCTGGGAGAGGTCAGGGCACACGTCTGTAATCCCAGCACTTTGGGAGGCTGAGGCGGGAGGATCACTTGAGGCCAGGAGTTCCAGACCTGCCTGGACAACATAGTGAGACCTCGTCTCTACAAAAAATAAATTAGCCGGGCATGGTGGTGCACGTCTGTAGTCCCAGCTACTTGGGAGTCTGAGGCAGAAGGATCACCTGAGCCCAGGAGGTTGAGGCTGTGGTAAGCGGTGATCGCGCCACTGCACCCAGGACCCAGACGTTCCGGTGACACCTGGTGCCCAGCTTGGGAACGCCAGCAGGTGCAGACGGAGCAGTGCTGGCACTTAGCTTTCAGGCCTGCCCTCAGCCACCCACATGCAGTGCTGCAGGGACCCCCAGAGCCCACTGCTCAGGGAAGCCCTCCATGGGGGCAGGGGGCCTGCCGCCATGTCTGGTTGGCTGCAGAGAACCGCCCAACACCGGCCTCCCACACTCCCTCCTGGATGTCATGGGAGCACTAGGTGAAAGTGGCTCCTCCCATCCCCGTGAGCCATCTGGTGCCTGCATGCCCGACGTGGGGTGGGAGGGAGCCCTCATGGTTGTTCCCGGGGCTGGGGGTCCCGGGGACCTCTGGCACCACCCAGACACCAGCTCCCCGTGTCCACAGGTTTCCACAGCGGAGGTGGCCGATGCCACCAGCTACATGTGTGTGGCTGAGAATCAGGCAGGCTCCGCCGAGAAGCTCTTCACTCTGAGGGTCCAAGGTGAGCTGGGCTCCGCGGGCAGCCCCTGTGGGTCCCTTGTCCCTTCCCGAGGGCCACCGCCTTGGGCTTCCAGCATCCTGGACTCTGGGACCCGCACTCAGAGCTCAGGGATGCCAGCCGCAATCCAGGAGGGACAGAGAGCATTTGGGGGACCCTGATCACTATGGGGCTGACCCTGGGTGGTTTTAAGCAACTCTGGAGGTGTCTGGGGCATGACTCTTCCAGAGCCTTTTATGGCACCCTTATTGAGCACCTACTGTGTCCCTGACATGGGGCTGAGCGTGCTCCCTGGGCTGACTCCTTGCACCAGAACTAGGAGAGTAACCCAACTTTCCAGATGTGGGAAGGGACGCAGAGAGGACGCCTGGGTATTATTTATTATAGAGGTGAGGGCTCGCTATGTTGCCCAGGATGGTTTCAAACTCCTGGGCTCAAGTGATCCTCCCACCTCATCCTCCCAAAGTGCTGGGATGACACATAGGAGCCACCGTGCCCTGCCTTGTTCATTCTCACCACCTCGAGTCTGCGCTTCTGACCTCTGTACTTTCATTGCACCTCCGTGGCTCTGGGTACAGCTATGGAGACAGCTGTGGCCTCGAGGGTGGAGAGAGACAGTGTCGAGCACTCTAGGTCACAGACTCTAACCTGAATGGATGTATTTTGGCTTTGCCACTGGCTGGCTGTGTGGCTTTGGGATAGTGACTCTCCCCCTCTGGTCCTGGAGTCCTAGTGTTCTCAGAGACAAGACAGGGCAAACAGAGGTCTCTGCATGGGGTTATTGGATGCGCAAAGGGGAGCCCCAGGAGCTGGATAAATGCTCCCAGAGCTTCCCCCTGGCTCTCTGCTTCCTGGCTGGTGACATCCTCATGTCTCTCTCTGTCCTGGTGGCTGTGGGGACAGTCCCGCCACGAATCGCAGGCCCAAACGCAGAGCAGATCACGGCCATCCTCAACAGCAGTGTCTCCCTCCCCTGTGACGTCCATGCTCACCCAAGCCCGGAGGTCACATGGTACAAGGACAGCCGGGCCCTCTCCCTGGGCGAAGAGGTCTTCCTTCTACCTGGTGGGTAAACTGAGACCTCGGGCCTGGATCTGAGGTTACTATGGAGAAAGAGTTGCTACCTCAAGCCAGGACAGGGCTGTGAGACTGGGAGGGGTTAGGATTTGGAGAGTGGGCCTGGGGGCTGGCTCAGGTCACCAGTGTGAAGGGCTGGCTCCCCTGCTCCCCACAGGCACCCACACGCTGCAGCTGGCACGGGTACAGCTGTCGGACTCCGGGACGTACGCGTGTGAGGCCCTCAATGCCGCCGGCCGAGACCAGAAGCTCATACAGTTCCGCGTGCTGGGTACGTCTGTCTGTCCCCCCGCCTGTGCCCTCAGCCCTGCCTCCCTGGGCAGCACAGCTGGGAGGGGGCAGCTGGGACTCAGAGGATGGGGGACAGCGGGATGAACCCCAAGATGTTGACCAGGAAGGGACCTCCCCCAGGCCTGTTTGTGAATTTCTCGCCATGGGGTCTACTGTAGGGCCCACGGTCTTCAGAATCATCCTGGGGAAAAGCTGGTCCAAGGTGTCGCCAGCAGGACTCACTAGAAGGTTCCATCTAGCCCTGGGTTGGTTCATTCTTTTTTTCTTTCTTTTATCTTTTTTTTTTTTTTTTTTTTGAGTCAAAGTTCCACTCATAGCCCAGGCTGGAGTGCAGTAGCATGATCACGGCTCACTGCGCCTCCACCTCCTGGACTCAGCCTCCCACATAGCTGGGATTACAGGTGCACACTACCATACCTGGCTACTTTTTTTTTTGTTTTTTTTTGTAGAGACGAGGCCTTGCTGTTTTGTCCAGGCTGGTTTTGAACTCCTGGGCTCAAGCGATCCTCCCACCTTGGCTTCCCAAAGTGCTGGGATGACAGGCGTGAACCACCTGCCTGGCCCTGTTTATTCTTTTGTGTGTGCTCAGCTATGCACCAGAATTCGTGCTGGGTTCTGTGAGCTCACAGCAGGTGGAGAGGGGTTCTGCTTTAGTTTGCTGCAACAACCGGGGCAGAGGGGCCCCCACGGAGGCTCTAACCCAGCCAGGGCCTGCCCTGTGTAGAAAAGAGCTTGGAGGGCCGTCAGCATCTCCCCCCTCCAGAGGCTGAGGCCCAGAGAGGGCAGGAGGCTGTCCCCGGTCACCCAGCAGGTCCTCGGCATGCTGGCCTCGTTCTCCTCCTCCGTCTCCCCTGGTCTGCACCAGTCCCTGGAGTTGGGTCCCCTGTGTGACCCTCGCGGGCCTCTATAGGCTGTTTCCCGTGGCTGGGCCCGGGAGGACGTAGGATGGCCACAGCTCCTCACTCTGCTGTCTCCCGTCCCCAGTTCCCCCCACCTTCAGGCAGGCTCCCCGCAGACCCCAGGCTGCTGTCGTGGTGCGGGCTGGGGACAAGGCCATTCTGAGCTGTGAGACAGATGCATTCCCCGAGCCGGCCGTGACCTGGCACAAGGACGGGCAGCCCCTGGTCCTGGGGCAGCGGACCCCGGCTCTGAAGGGTGGCCAGAGTCTGGAGATCCAGGAAACCCAGGTGCGTGGCCCGTGGACAGCCGTGGGGCGTGGCCTCCAGTCCTGGTGAGTTGTGGGTGAGGGGAGGGGAGAGATGGTGGGCACGTGCCAGGTCTGGGGGCTGCAGTCTCCTTGGCTCGGGGACACCCAAGTTGAGTGGGTCGGCACCTTCCAGGGCTGCAGACATGGGAGAGCCCAGAACTGCGGAGCTAGGTTCCGGACTCAGGATGACCTTAAGCCGCCCCAACCCACTGCCTGCCTCAGTTTCCCCAGGACCTAGAGGCTTTTTCCAGGCCCTTCTGGTTGGCTGTCTGCGACGCCCGAGAGTCTGTCGCACCCTCCCTGGTGTGGCCTGGGTCGAGATTAGACGTGCACAAGTGTTTGTCAGATGAATATTTGCTGCTGCTCCTCTGGAAATTCATTCTGGGCAACTCTCTTCTGGCCCAACTCTGTCCCCACAGCTGCAGGTGGGAGGGTGTGGGGTAGGGGGTGTTCTTCCTCCAGGTGTGGCCCCGGGAGTGGGGGCCAAAGCCTGTGCACCTGCTGTTGAGGGCCCTTCTGCTCCCTGAGGCTCTTAGAAAAGGCCAGAGGGTCCTGTTTCCCTCCGACTCCCCAGGTGGGACCAGGGTATTTGGGGAACCCTGCTCTGGAAGCCCTCAGAGCCTGAATGTTTGAGGGGAATCCAGGCACCCACTCCAGCCGCATGCACGTTATCATCATGTTCTCTTCCCGTCCTAGGTGTCGGATAAAGGTTTATACAGCTGTAAAGTGAGCAACGAGGCGGGGGAGGCCATGAAGACCTTCGTCCTCACCGTCCAGGGTAAGCCCGGGGCCAGCGTGGCCAGCGTGGCCGTGGAGTCCCTAGCAGCTCACAAGGCTGCAAAGGAGGAGAAGGACAAGAGCTGGACAGAAGTGGTGTGGCCAAGGGCTGGGGCATGATATCTGGAATTAAAAAGACCAGGAAGGCTGGGCATGATGACTCACGCCTGTATTCCCAGTACTTTGGGAGGCTGAGGCAAGAGGATAGCTTGGGCAACATAGAGAAACCCCATCTCTATTTTTTTAAAAAGCTAGCCAGGTATGGTGGTGCTCACCTGTATTCCCAGCTACTCAGGAGGATAAGGCAGGAGGATCACTTGTGTCCAGGAGGTCGAGGCTGTGGTGAGCCGTGATCGTGCCACTGCACTCCAGCCTGGGTGACAGAGTAAGACCCTGACTCAAACAAATAAATAAAACTAAAAGGTCAGGTTTAGTAGGATTCATATAGGACTCTACACTGACCTGCTCTGTGGGGCTTCATAGAGTGACTTTGTCCTCAGAACTGCAGGATTCTTTTTTTTTTGAGTTGGAGTGTCGCCCAGGCTGGAGTGCAGTGGCACGCTCATGGCCACCCCATCATCAACTTGCTGGGCTCAGGTGATCTGTCCACCTTAGCCTTCCAAGTAGCTGGAACTACAGGCACGTGCTACCACACCCGGCTAATTTTTTTTTTTTATATATTGTAGAGACAAGGTCTTACCAAGTTGCCCAGTCTGGTCACGAAGCAAGTTTACCTTAAGTAAAAGAGGCTGAAAGCAGTAGCTGCCTACTGGGTACATTGGAGGCACCAGATCCCTTGGGCTGCCAGATCCCTTGACTGTGTCTCTAAAGGCCTGGCACCAGGCACTAGGATGGAGAAGCCTGGGAGATCAGACATGTGGAAGGCCATGCCACCTTGATTCCCAAGGGGGCCTGTCCCATCAGCCCAAGGAGGGAACGTGGACAGCATTTGATGACCTGTGTGACTCAAGCTGGGGTGAGGAGGACTCTGTGCCATCTAGGAAGCGTGGGCAGATTTTCTGGAGTTTAGGTGTTGTTTCTGTTAAAATAGACTTAGCTGTGTAAGAGAGACCCCAAAATACAGTGGGATAAATGAGAGAGAAGGTTACCTACTGGGGTTCTACTGGCAGTGGTTACCTGGGGTGTATGACTTCATCCTGGCAGAGCAGGAGAGAATGTGGGATCGATTAGTGATATCTGCCCTGGCATAGGTTAAGGAGTGCTGGTGCCTGCAGTCTCTTCTGATGGCTACCATGAAGCATGGAGGGGTGGGGGGTGGGGAACATCTTGTTACTGGGGGCAGAGATGTTCCTCTGAGGCCAGATTTTGTTCTGGTAGTGGCTGTCTGGGATGTATGACATCATCCTGGTGGGGCAGGAGAGACTGTTGTGATCAGTTGGTGATGTCTGCCCTGGCGTAGGTTAAGGACTAACATGAGTGTCCAGGCTGGGGGCATAGCTTCACTCCATGTGGTAATTTAGGGTCCCTCTTGTTGCTCTTCCATCTCTTAAGGTGTTGTCCTTGTTCGTGTAGCTTGCTTTTCTTAAGAATAGAGATGGGAGCCGGGCTCAGTGGCTCAGCCTGTAATCCCGCGCCTTTGGGAGGCTGAGGTGA